CAAAAATTGGTTAAACTTGATTTACCGCAAATATACTATACCTGACCTAAGAAATTTAAAATGCAACAAAATGCCTCCGGTCAAAAGCTGTTCATTTCCCCATGTTAAAAAAAATTATTGTTTGTGTATTCAGTTATTTGCATGCAGGTAGGGCCTGGTGGAGGTAGTACTTGCCAAAGAAGATGCTACCCAAGTCATACAAAAAAGGAGGAAGTAGACCATTTGAAAAAAAAATAATAAAGGAGGTATTAGAAAGGCTAGCAGTGGTTTACAAGTTGATAAGTCATCAGGCCAGAATAGCCATTCAAGGATACGGAGGGAACTAAGGTGGTAATTGCAGAAGCACTGGCCATAATTTTCCAATCCTCCTTAGACAAGCAATGGCTCCTGAGGAATAGAGAATTGCAAAAGTTGCGCCCCAGTTCAAAAAAAAAGGTGTACAATAAGCTCAGCAACTACAGGTCAGTTATATTTCTAAGGCGAGGAAGCTTTTAGAAATGATAAATTGAGACAAAATTAGCAGTCAATTGACCAAATATAAATTAGTTAGTTAAGGAAAGGCAACATAAATTTCAGAGAAAACAATGTTTAACAACTTGCTTGAGTTTTTAATGAGATAACAGAATGGCTTGATGTGGGTAATGCAACTGATGTTGCGTGGGTGGGGTAATGCAAATGATGTGTAGTAGATGGAGTTTGAAAGAGATTTGATGAAGTGCCACAGAACCAGGATTGCAAGCATAATTAGAGTTCATGGAATGAAAATAATAATAACAGAGATTAAATCAGATGAGAGACAGGAATCAAAATACTGGTGAATGGTTGTTTCCCAGATTGGAGGAAGGTAAACGGTAAAACTCTTCAGAGGATGATACAACTACTGCTGCTCTTCATCTAGATTAATTATTTAGTCTTGGTGTGTAGGCATAAACTTAAAAATCTTCAGAAGTCATAACTGAGTATTACCAAGCATAAGGAGGATAGTGTCCTTTTTTTTGTAGCTAGACATCAGTAAGATAGGGCAGATAAGTGGCAGATGAAACTTAATACAAAAAAAAACTGTGACGTGATTAAGAGGTAACCTTGTTATCTCAGATTCTCCAGCATCTGCAGTTCCTACTATGTCTGTGAAGTGATTAACTTTGGTCGGAAGGACTTGAAGAGTCAACACAGAATAATGGATGCAATTCTAAAAGGGACTGGATGTGCACAAATTACTGAAGATGGTAGGCCACATTGAGAAAAGTAGATAAAGGCATATGGGGGTCATTTTATATACAAAGGGCAGAGAGTAAAAAAGCGAAGAACTTATGACAAATCTGTATACAACATTGGTTTGGCTCAACTGGAATACTTTGTCCAGTTCCAGGCAACTTACTTTTCAAAGGTTGGGAAGGCATTTGGGTGAAAGGTTTAAAAAGGAGAGGCAAATAGTTTTGTTGATTTTGTAAGTGACTTTTTTTTAAAAAAAAAAGGATCAGAAACTTCTATTGTGTCAAAACTGCTTGAGAAATCATATGATTTCAGCTAAATAACTAGGCAAGCCACATGTTGAGATAATTGCTGTTGAGCTTTTACAGCATACAGATACGGTCAAAGGCCAGAAACTGGTTCAGTCCAGAAGAAAAGATTCATGCCAGCAGAAGGACAGTTTAGTTTGGATGTTTGTAGGCTAGACTGGAAAGAAAACTTAAGCAGCTTTATCAGTCCAACAGGGCTGGAAAAAGCCAAGTTGCTCTTAAGAGTTTAAGAAATGTCAGTGAGTTAGTCTAACTCTGGGAGAGTTGGACAGCATCATGTGGTGAATGTACAGAAAGCTGTTGAAAGGAAATGCTAGCAACATCAATTGAGTAAGATTTTAAAGGAGTGAAGACAGAGTGATACTTCACTGAGTGCAGTGTTTGAAAAGGCTATTGCTGAAGAAAAAAAATTGAAACTGCTTGTTGTTTATTGCAAGATATTTTCAAATTGTCATACACAGATTTTTTTCTCCCCCTTCCTTTGTTGTGTAAGTTATTTTGTTAAAAGTGCATTGGCAGTCTTTTGGGCTATGAATATATTCAACACTGTAGTAAACAAATTGTAAAAGTAACACTAAAATCTATCATAAAAAGGTGTCACTCTGGAATCTAACTTGTACAGTATTACCATCAGCTGTGATCATAGCAGAACTAGAAAAGGGTACAGTAAAGATTCACAAGCATGATTCTGGAGTTGAAAACCTTCAGTTACGTGAGCAGATTGGATAAGCCATCGTTACGCTTCCTGAAGAAGTTGTAAATTTGACGGAGGTATTCTAAATCCTGAAGGGTTTGAACAAAGTAGATTGACAGAAACTGTTCCATTGGTGAAAAGATCAAGAACCAAAAGCCACTGTTAGAAAGTGGTTGCTAACAGAAGCAAATAAAAAAAAAAAAATCTTTTGATTTTGTATATCGTGTGGTTAAGATCTGGAATTCAATGTCCGAGGGTGGTGTAATTAAATTCAGGCATTGCTTTCAAAACTGGGTCATCAACTGAAGAGGAAAAAAAGGCTATGTGGAAAAGCTGGACTAGGCCAGTTGCTTTAAGAGATGGATGCAATGATTCTCCTGTGCTGTAATCATTCCATGATTTCAATTATTGAATTTTTATTTCATCTACCTTACTACAGCCCTGAAAAATGCAGAGAAGAATTAAACAAAATACAAGGATCAACCATGATCTCATTGAAGGACTGAATGGCCTCCTATTCCTATTATGTTCTCAAGGAAAGCATATACTTAGCTATAACATGTTTAAAACTGCTTCCTTGCTCAGATCTAGTCCTCTTTTCAGCAGCATGAATAGTTCACGGTCTCGAGATTTCCTTTGGGTCTTCCAGTTTCAATTTTCTACGTGCAGAACATCAGCATCTCTCTCATTACTGCCTAGTGCTAGCTAAATATCTACTTTCCCAGTGACCATTGAAAATGGTCATGCCACACTAGAATTCAAGCTTAGTGTTAAGTGTCAATCCATGACGCTGCCCCATTTTGCATTAAATTTTTAAAATCCATTTACCCGACTCTTAAACCTGACAGCAAACTATCATACGTAATTGCTGTCTATTAGGAAAAAAAAGTCTCTGGTGTACATGTGATTGGAGAGGGAAAGCTCTTCACTTCAAGAAGATACCCAAATCAACAATTCTCTCACCATTTATTTCTGTTACACCAATTAACACTGATTCCTTTGCCCTTATCCCCTACTCCCTAACCCTTAGTTGACAGGCACCAATACATTCACTTCCAGAGTTCTCTTACAACCAGAAATGGACTCCAATGCTGAAACTAGAATGCATTTAGTTGAAATGACTGAAATGAAGACTGCAAGATACTTCAGGAATTGATAAAAAAATGCTTTTACCATTAATCATGGTACACTACTGTTAAGTACTCTAAGATGCAATTCACCATTCCCTCCAATCACTCCACAGGAATAGTGAAGTTCAGACTCATGGTAGAAGACAAGGGTTTGATTATATGGAAGTAAGGGAAAACTTAACATTATAGAAAAGAGCATTCATTAGGACAAATGGTTTGAATTTTGTATGCTTATCAGAAAAGATTTCCTAATAGCAGAAAAGGGTGATAATTGGTTGAGACCCATGGAGAAAGCGCTGAAGAACTATAATTTACCTATCCCTTTCATCTCTCTCTCCAGCTATCTGTCCACCTCGCCCCTTTCACCATCAACACACCCTCCACCAACCCACCAAACTTCAGCACAAATATATTTTCCTAGCTACTAACAGTTTTGATGAACAGTCACCAGACTCAAACCTTAACTCTGCTGTCTTCCCACAGACGCTGCCAGACCTGCTGAATTTCACCAATTTGTGTGTGTGTCAGGGAACTATAGATTCCTGAAGTACAATAACAAGGCGAGAAGTAGGCCATTTGATCTGTCAAACCTATTCTGCTATTTAACAAGAACATGGTTTAATAGGATTGTGACCTCAGCTCCACTTTCCTACCCATTCCCATACTCCCTTGACATCCCTGTCAAATCAAAATGCCAACTTAGTTTTGAAGAACCTGGTAGTTCAAAAAAAGAAGTACACAAGGTTTGAACAAATTTGTTTCATTTGCAGAAATGGATCCCTGTGTATGAACATACGCCATTTTCAACAAGTGTAAATGTGCCACATTACAAGCTCGACTCATTATCTTAAATTGGCTGTTAGCATAGCTTTTAGCACACATTGCAAATTAAGAATCACATCCAGTGAACACTTTTGCATTCTGCAAGTCTGTACCATGTCAATTACAGACAACTGAAGGAGTATCTTATTTCAATTCAAATCAGTCAGTCAACCTGTGACATATGGCCTATGTACCTGGCAACATATCAGCCCCAATTCATACATGATATTGTTCAATTGTGAGATAGGCAGAATGTCTTTTTAAATTGATGATGGCGCCTCAGAGAAAAATACCACTCACCTAGCTATTGCACTGTAGTACCATGAATTGATTTGCTTGACCCAATGTTCAAATTCAAGGTACTTTTCCTTCCTCGGGTAATTTGAGGTAGACAACACACTTTTGAAGTCTGAAAGTGGTGGCCTTTGACCTCTTTGGAGAGTTTGATCAGGAGCTTTGGGGCACTACCTTTCCCCACTGTGCTCTCTAATGGCAAGACCTCAGCCAATGTTCAGTCATTAAATGACAACTAATCAGCAACCTTTTCTCCTGCATTATAAATTGTTATGATTCTTTGAAATTTGACACTTCTTGCATTTGTCCTGATAAGTGCAAGATAAAAACCTTCAGCAATATGTCTCTCTTTTCAGTAATTAAAAAGTTCTGTACTAGAAAGCTCATCACTAATATCATTTAGCAGGTAACATTTATACCAATTACTAGAACTTATAGTATGTAGAAATTAATATCTAAAATCTACAGAAGATAAAATGATTATATAAAAATATAATGACTCACTTTGTTTTACAAGAACATTTACATAGAAAAACTTACTGTGGTTCGACTATAAATTTTGTCTTTAGCCGAGAAGGAAATATTTTCCAACTCCTCTTGCGTTATGTCCTCAACTGATCGAACCACATGTGGAATGGTAAGAATGCTCGGTCGACTTCTTCTGCGAAGAGGCACTTCATCCTTTGATGGGAAGGATAAAAGGGAAGGAATCACAAACTCAGAACATGGAGATCATAAACCTCTTCCAGTAATCTTTAAGCATCTATATAAACATTGAACCTCCTAATGCATAGCTAAAGGACTGTTGAAATGAATAGAGGCGGTGTTCAGCATATGTAAAAACAGATAATAATGCAATGGTTATTCAGCCAGCTGAGGATTGTACAAACAAATTAGCAGTTAGTAAACACACAGAACAATAATAAATTCATGACAAACCTGCCTTGTTTGGCCAGTATGGAGTTAAATTTCAAAGCAGTCACATCATAATTCAGTGCTAACTCCCAATCAAACGTTGTAATAACAGCTGTTGTGAAATTGTACAAGTTCACATTGCTGCTTTAGGTTTTCTTTTAAGACTTGCGTCAAGATACACTATTAAGATAATAGGCAAAGTAGTTTTTGCTTTTGTCACAGCTATTGTTATCCTTACTTGGAAGCATTTTACTGATTGAAGATATTCTATTCTTTCACATGCATATTTAATCATTTTTGCTGCATTATCAGAACTTAAATATAAGATGCATTTGGCAACAGTGATATTGGATGCAGTGTACTAGAATGGTGATCCCTTACTGCAAAGATAAAAACCCAAAACACAAGTCAGAATTCTCAAAATAGGAGGTTGTTGCAAATTTCAGACCAACTGTTCAAATAAGCAAGTTCAAGTATGTATTCTGAACTTAAGATCTCAATGGTTACAATTGAAGATATGATGCTTTAACCCAGTCCATTTTCCAAATGAAAACACTCAAATACAATAATTTCTCGATCACAACTTAATTCTGCCTTTTATTCCTCTAAAAAAAATTAAGTACTTAATAACACAAGTTAGGCAACTGAATTCATGCGCACACTATCGTACCACAGGAAAGCAGGCATGGTGATTGGTACCTACTAAAACAAATTGGTGATATATTCAAAGTACATGTTAAAACAGTCAGGCTTCTTTGCCACCTTGGGAGTTCCATTTAATCAATACTATTAAAACTACTTCCATGTATGATATGTTTTATACAGTAAATATCACATCAAATAGGAAACAAAAATCACAGAGGTTCAATTAGACAAAAAAATGAAAGCCAAAGCAAAGATGTAAATATGGAAAAAAAAAACCAAGCTTGGTAAATTAGGTATCAATAGGTACAAGTTCAGAAAAGGAATTCCGATACATGGGGTCTAGAGGGTTGACAGCTGTCAGGAAGGCTGAAAAGTGGACAGTGGTTAGGGTCAGTATGTATTTGATCAAATAAAAAAATGAATACATTAATACTAAATTTAAGTAAATGAAGACACAAAGAATGAATGACGAAGACGGAGCAAGACCAAATGCAGACAAAGTTTTGAATGAGCTGAAGTTTCTGGCAGATGGGAAAGTGGCCAGGAAAGTACTGCAATCATCAAATCTGGAGGAGAAAAAGGCATGAATGAGGTTGTAGCAGATGGGCTTTGCTGAAGTTAGCAATTTTTTTTTTTTTTTTTAAGATGGGTCTGAAAAGTTGAAAAATCACCTTGGAGTTGAATAGGACAGATATTGCTTACATCTGGAAGCTGTCCAAAGACATTAATTGAATTTGATTATTACGGTCTTAGACATGAAAAATGTAAATTCAATATGTAACGAAACATTTGTCTGCACAACTGTTGTTTAATTTATGAAAGCTATTATATTGTGCATTCAACAGATAGTTAATACTGAAGACAAGCTGTTTCATCATACATGTTTTTATCTGCCTGCCAACCTGTAAAAGATAAGTGCTACATAGAGCTTCAAAACAAAATATATTGACTTTCAATGTTTCAAGATTTCTTAATGAGGCATGTATTCCCAAGTGTTTAATTGCAGTCAGTACAGACACTACTGAAATAGATCTCTATAATTTTTATGAACATAGAAGTCTTTAACTGTAAAGGTTATTAGGCTTTACAAGTGACCACCAGAAATGCAGATTAAGCTGGCAAAGTCAGTGCACCATGAAAGTTGTTGTTAATAGCAGCACAAATGACTTAATGACTCTACCTCAGAGAAGTCATTATCCAGAAACTTTCTTTTCCTCATAAAGCTGACATTATCTTCTTGCCCAAATGATGGAGAAGGAGGGCCATCAATCAAAGATCTCGATCGAGTGTGAGGCCTAGCACACCGTTCAGGATTTCGTCTAGAAGCATTTTCTGAGAATGCATTTCTCGGTGGACGTTTTGGTTTCTTAAAAATACAAACAGGAATTTCTGCAATTTACAACCAAATATATTATGCACAAGTCTATCAAGAGTCAGGTAGTTGCACCACTCTTTAAAAAGCAAGGTGTTCAAAATAATCATAAGGAATTTGCTTCTGCAATTTAAAATGCAACTTCAAAGGGGTCTGTTTATTCAATATTTAATTTTAACCTTTAATATCCCTTTATGACATTTTAATTAATTCTACTTAAATTTAATGTATGCTTTTACGTTTCTCCATTTTAGGCAAGTTATATATTGTGCAGTAATATTTTGGAAAATAATCCAATAAACTGAAAATACATGATACAAATCTACAAATTCACTGAAGAATCAACAATTCAAACAAAAATGCACAAATTCTAACAAAAATACCTCTCTAATTTGACAGTGCAAGCCCAACAACCGCAATTCAGTGTGTTTAAATATTCATTAAATGTAAATTCTTAAATACCTGCTGCACATAAGAATTTCTGCATCATTTCTAAACAGTTCCGAGCATACTGCAACAAACCCAAACTCTTGCCTACTTACTGATGGTGTTCCTTGAACTGAAACTCTGCGTGGCAGAAGTCCTGGAACAGTCTTCAGCTCTGCTATCAATTTGGCCAGCTTGGACAAAAGCATTATAAACATTATATTAAAAGCATTTATTCTGTTTACAGAACTTTACAACAGACTGATACATAGAATTTATAATGAAGAAAAAGGCCATTCAGTACTACTGCTGTGCCAGTTTTTAATGATCCTCTACAGCCTCCTCTGTAAATCATCCATCAGCATGTCCTATGATTACTTTCTTTTTCATTCATTTAGTCAGCTTCTCCCTAAATTTATCTAGGCTATTCATCTTGTGCTCATTGTGGGAACAAGTTCCACATTTATAAACTACCTGTTGGGTTTAAGAAAGAAGTTTGTCTGATAGTTATTTATTGGCAAATATCTTCTACTTAGACAGGATGTTCCCTCTCTTTTCTCTTATCCTTTCTGATTCTCTTGAGAAATAGCACACAACAATGAGAGTTTTCTTTTCTGATGCTGTCTCTAATCCAATGTTCCTTCACTTGGCTCAAATTTAGCTTAGAAAATAAATGAACATAGGATCAGGAGTAGGTCACTTAGCCCCATGAGTCTGCTCTGTTTGACTCCAATCTGCCATGGCTCCATAACCTTTAATACCCCTGCCTACAATTAGCTTCTGGTTCAGGCTGGCGTGTGTTAAACCACTCTTTCTTAAAAGGCACAGGCCAGGTTGAATATAACTCTAGCTGAGCAGAAAATATACTCCACACTGCTAGGCGCAACAATTCAGCCCTTCAATCATTTTATTTTGTTCTTCCCCACTCAAAATCCCCCACATAATTCATCAGCTTCAAAGACAGCACACAAACACCAACAAATCTACACCATCATCACCAGTAGATTATCAGGGGTCATTTTAAAAACTGCAGCAGGAAACACTGTTGTGAAAGCAACATTTTTACATGCAATACAAGTATCATTCACGAGCTGATATGAAGCTAGCTTAAACGCTGATACTACTGTATAATTTGCATCCTCCTGTAAAGTTAATTAATATCTGTAACTAACCAAAGCCATTTACAATAGGAATGCATGCAGTATTTACCACAGCTTTGTTTTCCTTAATATTTAGAGCTCTCTTCTCAAGAAAGCTTGTTCCTCTGGGTTCATCCACATCAGAATCAGATTCAGAAGCTGAATCCCTATTTAAAGCAGCACAAGAGTCTGGTATTGGCAGAATTTTGTTTTTCTGAGATGGAAATCTGAATGCCACACGTATTGGGAAAGATTGTTTGCTCCGTGTTTTGGCATTCTTTGCAGATTTTACATCACCTTCATAAGTTATTTCTTCTTCTGATTCAGATGATTCAACACTCTATAAAAACAGATAAATGAAACATAACTTTTCATTGAACATATACCAACTGTACACCAAAATATGAATATCAGCCAAATGAAAAGACAACGAATAAATCTTGACATTTAAAAAAAATTCTATATTATACCAGAAGTTCTAATGCAGCTCTTACTTTCATTAAATGTACAACATTGAACAAAACGTGAACAATGCAAATTCCAAGTTAAATGAATCCCTACAAATATTTAGAATCTGCCAGAAAGACACTAGTTTCACATCTTTAATTTCAGTTCATCAATTATTATCACTGGGCTGTTAATCCAGAGACCCAGATAATGTTCTGGAGACCTGGGTTTGAATCCTGCCACGGCAGATGGTGGAATTGGAATTCAATTTTTAAAGATTGGAATTAAGTGTCTAATGATGACCATGAAACCATTATCAATTGTTGCGTTCACTAAAATGTCTTTTAATGCCACCCTACCAGGTCTGGCCTGCAATGGGACTCCAGACCTGCAGCAACCTGGCTGACTCTTAACTAGGAATTAGGGATGGGTAATAAATGCTGGACTAGCCAGCCAGACCCTCAACCCATGAACAAATTTGAAATAACAACGAAAAGAAATCTGTTCTCAGACTGAGTCAAGAAGCAGCTCACAAAGAGCCAGGAAAATTGCTACATTGAGTTTGAATTAAACAGTCTACGATGACAATACAAAAACAAACTCTTGTCAACATTCATTATCACCTTCAAAACAAACATTTTGTGATACAAATTCCAGATGAAAGGACAGAATTATATTTGAGTTGTTGGTTCAGGATTTGAACACAGTCTGTTATCCTACCAGAAAATTATTACAAAAAACTGGAACTTGAAATTGTTGTACATTAATCACCATATTTAAGTGATTTAAATTCTGAATTTTATGTTTAATCAAGTTTGTATATACCATTGCTTCCATAACATCTTTGAGGTCACTTTCAGAAAAACCATCAAATGATTCGTTGTCAGAATCCTCATTAAAAATCTGAGCCAATTCGTCAGTCAGAATCTCTGCTCTGAATTTAGCTTTCTGAGGAAATAGAAAAAAAAACTTGTTATATTATAGCAAACTATCATATTAAAGGTAATTGTCGTCGACTTCTTTTGCATTCACAATCTTAAATTACACTTACACTGTTCGTAAAATTGTCTGAAGCAAAACTATCACAGCTATCATCTGATGATGATGTTTCCATGGGAACCAATGCCACGTTTCTGAAGTCTTTAAATTCTTCCTTTCCAGAAAGGTCTATCTGCTGCAAGATTAAAAAAAATACAATCTTGAATACCTTTTAAATAATTTCTTTAGTGTCAGGTTTTAATGATATGAGTTGCCAGAAATTCACTTTGCATAACACGTGGTCACACTCTGAATCTGCTTTGTACTATGTAAATGGAATGCAGAGCCAATTTATTCTAGCTTTGCAGACGGGCTTTGAGATTTGTAGATATTTATCATCAGTTGTGCTTATTCGATATTCAAATTGCATGTTTAGGTTGGTTTGAGTAACCAAAGTAGACTAGATAAAAGTTTTTGTTGCATACTGAAATCTTCAATACCAGCTGGAACATTCACAACCAGGAAAAGAGCAGCTGATCTTTGATAGTAACGTGAGCTGAAAGCAAATAAATGGAACTTCAAAGTGCATTTATGTACAATTGTGAATTTAATACAAAAAATAAGTTTATTAAAAGTTTAGTAATGCAAGTATCTCCTAGAGGAACGTGCAGGCAGATCTTTCACAATTTCGGGACTAGTGGAATTTTGCTTTCAATACAGACAGCATGTAGGTTTAAACAGAAATTTAATGAATAAAGTTCCCTGCTTCAGATACATTTCTCAATAATGTGCAGTGATCAATTAACTTTTTAAATTGAAAAGGTTGCAAATAATCCAACTGTCCCCTTAAAATTAGATTAACAGACAGACGCCCAAAAGGTGAGAATTTAGAATAAATGAGAGATAAAAAGGTCACAGAAAACCTGTATTTGCACCCTGACCTAGATGTGGTTGCAGAGTTTCCAACAGACATGATAGCCTGCAAACCTTTTCAAGGTTCTCCACGAACAATGAAAAAATTCATGCGTGGTGCCCCACTGGGCTTTCACATTTGAAATGGTAATGCCACTAGGTCTTTCTGATCATTACCAGGTTTCATCAGCACAAGTTATCTGAAAATACAGAACACTTTCTTTCCCCCAACCACAAAAGGAAGTCATAGTCTCCTACAACATAAAGCCTCAAGTTAAGATTTTAAGCTACAGCTTGTATTTCTGTTGAAAGGCAACACTACATGAATACTACAAGTTTACAATGCATTCATGGTACCATAATGCATACTTCTGATACACACATTACAGCATGAAATTTAATCAAACCCAGAAAGTGACTGAGCATTACTTTTTCTTAGAAACAGCATGAACAAACCTTGGTAGGTATCTGCTATAGGAATATCATTGCACTTTTAAAATGATAAGATAACAAACCTACTCAAATGAATAGACATATTATTTAAGGACTTGCATAACACCCTCAAGCCAAGCAAAGTCAAAAGTTCAAATATAGTCTTCAAATTCACAGAAATTAAGGATCTTTTTAAGAAAGCATCGTTTGATGCCAATGTTTATGTAAACTAAGATGTGCAATAGGACAAACAAAAGCACAGTACGAACTTTCAAGACAGAGCTTGACCATCACCAAATGTTAAAAAACCTAATCTGCAACATTCAATTCTCGTTTTCTTCTGCTCATAGCAAGGCTGGTGAGGTATTAACAAATCCATTAATGTTAAGGTACATGCGCAGTGAAAAATGAAAAGGGCAAAATTGCTTCAGCACTGCAGTAATAGACTTTGATTAGTTCAATTCCTAATGACGTTGTGATAACTAGTTTCTCCAAAGCCATCTTTACATTTGAGTTCATCAATATTTAGTTTAAAAATGTATGTTCACAGGAATTTGCTCTCAAATACTAGAAAGGCAAATTAATGTTAGCCAATTATCCCCCACCAACCCAAAGAACTGTACAGCTGTGGAACAGACAGTTCAAAATGAATACTCTTTCATTACATACTCAAAGCAGGTCAGATTGCATAACAGGTAGGTACCCTGTAAATGGTAGCATTAGCATAGTACGGGCAGCACAGTGGCTCAGTGGTTAGCACTGCTGCGTCACAGCACAAAGGACCTGGGCTCGATTCCAGCCTCAGGTGACTGGATGTAAGTTTGCACATTCTGTCCGTGTCTGTGTGGATTGCCTCCCAGGTTAAGTGGATATCTGGACTGGCCATGCTAAATTGCCCATAGTGTCCAGTCTAGCTGGATTAGCCATGGAAAATGCAGAGATAGGGTAGTGGGCTAGGCTCTTCAGAGGGTCGGTGTGGCCTCGATGGGCCGATTGGCCAGTTCCCACACTATAAGGATCCTAGAACACTGGACTTATTTTGATTACTTAAATAGGTCAGAGAGGAAAATTCAATATTCCACAAACAACCCTCTCCACTGGGAAGTCTACAGATCTTTCACATACCCCTCCCAAAAAAGATCATACAGCTACAACTGGGAAGGGAGTGACTGAAAGATGTTGTACAAGATCATGATTGGACAGGATTGGCTAAGCTAGATGAAACAGCTAGACATTTCTTGTAGAACATGCAAAAAGTTTGAGAAAGGGTCACGCAACCAGAAACGTTAGCTGTGATTTCTCTCCACAGATGCTGCCACACTTGCAGAGCTTTTTCAGCGATTTCTGTTTGTGTTTTTGACTTACAGCATCCACAGTTCTTTCAGTTTTTATGCAAAAAAAAATAAAATCTAGTTTAAAATAGTTTAACAGTTTAGACAAGGAATGGTGGTAAAATTACTTTGTTTCATTAGGGCTAAATTTAGAAGTCCAAATTAAAGCAAAAACAAGATTTCACATGTAAACTCTCCTTCCAAAACTGATAAGAAGTCATATTATTTCGGCACCATTTTTGGCTTTCTTTCAGACAGCCAGCATTGAGATTTCCTTTACCAAAATACATCTGCTGTTTCATTACAAGAAATGAGTATATAACAAACAATTTAAAGAATGTGGTCATTTAATTAGTCAACAGAGATTCAGTGACAAGTATCACCTAAACGAGCAATTCATGTTTAGCACAAGTGGCTCTAAAGCTTCTCCTTTGTCCCCATCTTAGAAAGAAATTTCAAGCAAATATGCAAGCACCAAACTAAACGTCACTTTACAAAAACTAACATTAAATCAGGAAGTTTGAAAAAGATGATTAGAAGCAAAGTACTCAAATGTTTTTAAAGGGAGAGATTAGTAAATATTTATTAATCAAAGTGAGAAAAAAATCATCAGGGTAGGCAGGAATGTGGATTTGAGATTGCAATCAGATACATCATGGGGTCTTATTGGATAGCAGAGCAAGTTTGAGAAGCTGAACGGCCTACTCCTCCTAATTCATACTGTTTTATAAATGTTGTAATAGTTTCACTTCCTCTTTTACTAGTTTGATGTTGTTTACTAAGTTACAACCATTTGTCCCACAACACCCAATCTAACAGATAAGCTGGCTGTGCACTAGAACTATCAATTAACAGGTTAAAACATTATAGATCCCACTACAGGCATTCCTGAATACAAATTGTAAGGAGTCAATGATACTCAAGTAAGAGACAAGTTAAATATTATTGCTAATTAATTTACTAAACAAAATAGCTAAATATTAGCTCAAACACTTATTAATGCTGAAATGATTACCTGGCTTTCATTGATTTACAGTAAGGACTTCTTGTTCCAGTTTCACTTGTTTTGTGTTGACACAAAACAAGACAGATGGGAAGATGCACTGAAAACGATCACTGATAAATTTAACTGCTCAGTTTTCAAACTGGGCTCTATTAACTGGTTCAAGGAGGGTCATGAGTTATTAAGCCAAACCTAATGGCAAATTAACAATTCTGTGTCATACTGCTTTTAATCACAATCTTATACCCAGTCAATCATCAAAAGGCCACTCAACACACAGAAATTCACCCTGGTTCTATTAATTTCTCAGCCTAGATCTACTCCTGAAATGAACAGTCGAAAGGCCCATTACTTATCAGCCTTTTTAACCCTCTCTCTGAAATTGCTCTTTCTAGTATTGGTTGTATTTTTCGTTGAACATGCTCAGTATCTGTGGTTACATTCTGTCTTATTCTAAAATATTGATCAGAATATTTACTGTATCTAAACCATATAATACCATACTTTAGAGCTGTTTTCGGTCATAGCCTTTTCTCTAGCTGTGAAGATTTTACGCTGATCTCGAGTCCTCTTGGAATAATTCTTGATGCTGTTCTTTGAGTTGACGTTTGAATAATCTTTCTGCACATTGTCAGAAAGCACCCCACTGTAGGCTACTTTTATAGTAATGCAATGTAAAGCCTCAGCAAAGTGTATTCAAATGTACTAGTCACACATCCTACAATTTTGTTAATTCGAGCAGTTTATTTTCTTTAGAATCTCAACTTGGAACTTAAAAAAAAATGTAGTTCTCATTTGTGACTATGTATAGTTAAGCACTTCATTGCCATCTTAAGTTCTCATCGTTTAAGTATATAAAAAGGGGGTTAAATAGGAGTGCAATAACCGTTTCTTTTAAAAAAAATTGGGACACCGTACTTCAACTCTAGCCTTTGGGCATTAGCAAAACAACATTTAAAGTGAAATTTTCAACTACGCCGCTATGATGAAGACGGTGAATGGATATCCGCACCAATCAGGGCTGTTAACATATTAAGGGTCCAACAACAACTGGCATTTATATAGCATCTTTAACGTAGTGGTGAAGAGTGTTTCTCCGAAGGCCGACCCAAAAGAATGAGAACTGCTATCAAAACACAAGAAACTGTAACGCCAAGTTACAAAAAGGGGGAAAAATAAAAGTTGAATTTGAGATCATCACTATCGTTTTCCTGCACGGGGTGGGGTGGGGGGGGGTGGTGGTCTGGGCAGGCGGTGCTGACGGTCACTTAAATGGAGCGACTCCGAAAAGCCGCGAGTAGGTGGTAGTGGTGGTGGTGGTGGTGGTGAGGCGGGTAGCCCTGAGCTGTCACTCAGGGACCCACAGACTCCACATGGTCAAGGTCAGAGCCACTCTTCCCAAAAACCAGCTTCAGGGACTCGGTAGGACGGCGGGGCTGTTCACCTGGTGACCGGGACGGTGTGCTGTGCCTCGCTCCCCCTCAGGCCCGGGCTGGGGGCCGGGGGGCTCGCGCCCTCCCCAACTGTCAATCATCCCCGAGATTTTCCCGCGTCAAGCCGGATCACGTGATCCGGCGCTCAGTTTAAACGGAGCCCGAAACGAAAGGCAGAGATTTCAGACCTAAACGTGGTTAAATTTATTTTTTTTAAAAAAAATTCATCGAAAACTGAGCCGCCACACTCCACACATGGCCAACTGAACGTAACTAACAAAGCCGACGTTAAAAAAAGTTACTGGCACTTAAAAGTCCTTGAGGAAAATCAAAATGAACCGCAGAACTGCATAAAATTTAAAACCAGCGTGACACGGCTAACCGAGTAAAAACTGCTCAGAAGATGTTCTTCGATCTAATGCGGATACTGCGAACAAAAATTCTTTCCTCTTAAGCCGCTGGGAAACGGAGGAATGCAACATGCACACCTACCTTTGCACGCAGTTTTTTCATGGCTTTAACTTCCCTCAGCACTTTGCTTGAGTAACAGCGAGTTATTTGGTGTAGGACTGCTGCTTAAATGCTAAATGTGTGTAGCTGCAGTCCCGCCTCCGGGTTTCGCGCGCTGCCGGGTCGGGCCAGGTGCAAAGCGCGCGAGAAGCCTGCACTGTTGCAGAGCAAACATTTGACAGGGTGTTAAACCCTTACTGTACTCCAAGAGCTCGTATTCGTTATATGTAGCCCTCATTTACAGAACACTTATTATGCACTAGTAAGATGAGAGACCACGCCTCCTTTCTGGACGGATATTCGTATCATAAAGATGCTGGAAATCATTTTAAAAACTTAGATCTGGATACAATTCAACATCCCAACCCACTATGCAAATATTCAACTTCACGTAGCTGCGAAATACTTCTTCCATTCGCACCAACCGGTTCTTTGCCACCGCTAACAATTGTTAAATATCCACTTTATACCACAGTGACTGAAAGTGACAGTTTTACTGCACAACTTGTTATTTACATGCCGCTTTAGTAAAGCATCCCCGAAGGACTTCATAATCAAGACAGTATAACTTCACGGTAAGCCACCAAAAGAGAAGGTCAACTAAGTAACAGATTTCTCGATTCCTAAGGAAGATTTTAAGAAACAATAAGACGTAAAGAGGCGAATAAATTTAGGAAAGGAATACCACAATTTGCACCTCAAGCATGAATAATTTGAAAGCAGAGTTGCCAATCATAGCAAAGGAAATCAGGAATAAACGAGGAGAGAAATGGATAAATAGAAAAATCTTGGCAGCTTGTGATGTTGGCGAAGGAATGTGAGACCATGGATGGATGCAATAACACCTTCTATAAAAATCCATAAATTAAAAATCCAAATGCCCTTTCTAACAACACTTCGAGTGTACCAGCACCTGAAGGGCTGCAGCAATTCCAGAAGGTCCCTCATCACCATATTCCAAAGGGCAAGGGATGGGCAATAAATATTGGCCTTGGCAGAAACGTTCACATTCCATGAAAAAATAAAGAATTGTGTAGTTATTGCACTGCAATAAAAACAAGCAGAGTAATAAGTTACATTGCTGAACGATTAAAGTCTGAGAAAATGTCTGGGATTGCCCCGTTGGAGATGCAAAATGACCCAGACCTTCTGTAATTCTTAGCTGTTTGGACGATAGTTTTGCTTCTTTCTTCCTCACATTCTTGCACTTTCTTTTCTCCCTCTGTGCCATTATGATGGTTATGAACCTAGTTAAGGAGGTCTGTGAGAATGTGCTATTTGGATGACAATTGTATCGAGCTGAGGGGTTGGTGCTCAGATGGAGTGCAGCTATGGCCACAAGTGACTGAAGGATCAAATTCTTTGTGCAAGAAAAGTGAACAATCCTCCATCTTGGAGGCCATGTTGGAAAGGTTGTGAGATTGCACATGGTTGCAATATTTGTGCAGGAGTGATGTGGATTCTTATAATCTCATGATATTACCTTTCTTGTATCTGTTATGTATAATTTAAAGTTTGTACCAACTGTGATTTGCCTGCTAATTCATGTTTAATTTACGTGTAAACTGTTCATATTAAAGTAAAAGCGATAAGAAAATGACTTGTTGATAATTTCTTCATTTGTGGGTTATTCAATATCTCTGGCCCTCTTGATTTGCATTTCCTGTTTGGAGATCATAAGAGCATGCTACTTTGTTAGAAAGTTTATGCATCACTCCATGTATGAATCTATTCATATTATAGCTTAGATATTCCCAGTTTGTGGAGTTACATCATGTGTAGAAGTATCCAACTGAATATCAATCCAGATTCACAGCTGCAGCTGGTTTTCATTTTCCAGGAACTAGAACAGGGCTCATAACTGTGACTCTTGATTCAAGGGCCAGTGTGCTACCACTAAATTGTTTGTTCCATAACAGATTATTGATAGAATGTGCTCATTATTATATGCTCCTCTCTACATAAAACCAGGTAAATTTTCTCCTGAGTTAGATACGTTGATAAATGGAGAGGTCTCAATGGAGCACAGGGATAACTAAGCATGGGAAGAGGCTGAGCTTTTGAATTAAGGCACGTGATGGGAGAGGTAAAGTATCAGGAGTTCAGCATGGAGAAACTAAACAGTTAAAATATGCCAATTTTTTGGTTTTTAAATGCAAACAGATTTACAATGTTGTACCTCTAATCATAAGATATTATTTCAGCATGGTTGAGAATTTCTGTGAACAAGCTGTGAAATTCTTCTCTGTGCTGAAACAATAGACAATGATTACAGGTCAATCTGATCCATATAACCAAACCCCACTTATCATTATAAATAAATGTAACTGTACAGATACTTATAGATTGTAGTTTTTGCAGGATACGTTGATCATTATCACCAAGTAATCACTAAACTGAATGATAATCAAAATATGCGTTCATGCATGTGCTCCCATTAACAAATGCTGGACTGTAGAAACCATAAAATGCAACTGAACTGTGCTAGTATTTCTAATTGTTTATTATTCTAATTTTGCAAGTCAATTTTAGTTCTTTCCCTCAATCCCAACTTCAGAAAGGCATTTCACATTTTACAATACTACTCCTATATCCTCCATTGTGCTCTTTAAGGAATTAGAGCAGCTGATAAAATGCTAAACTATTTTCTATTTACATTAGGATTGTGTAGTTAAAACACTGAAAGGGGAAAGTTTGAGTTGAGTTCCAGTTGATCAGATGATCATTCCTCGATGTAGATTTCCTTATTTCAGACTTTTCTGACTGAAAGAACTCCACAGAGGCCTGTATCCCATTATTAAGTAATCTTTTATTTACACATGTAAAGTCCATAACACTGATCCAGCCTTCTCAGAGCCAGCTCTCGGAGTGTCAGGATATCTAACGCTCCTTATCTGTCATCCAGGGCTCCCTGATTGGACCAGATTAACAGCCCCAATTATGGAACTCATATTCTATGAGGACCACCTGGCTGACCTCGTTACAATTACTACACTGCTATTTCAAAAGTTCTTCTTGAATATGCTACAAACAGGAGCCCGAAGTGATTGTTCACTTAATCACTCACGAGATGAAGCTAGAATCTTCTGTGTTTGTATGGTTTAATGTCACACCACACAATTATTTTACATGCAAAGCTTTTTGAGAAATGTTGTTCTTTTAAAATTTAAT